GAGAAGCAGTTTGATTGAGTTGTGAACTGAGTTGGGAGATACTGAAAACTTTCAAATGTGATACATTTTTCCTCACCCATTTTTTCCCTCATCTGAGCAATCCTGGATTTTTTCTTCTGACCAGCCTCCTCTTCCATGATGACAAACGGCCGGTACATGGGAGGGGGCGGGGCCAGCTGCAGCGTGTGCCACTCACACACACCTAGAAGGGAAGGCTGAGTCTTCGCCGGGGGTAGAAGGGCGGACACACCCTCGGGCTTGCTGTCTGCAGCAGCAGCCGTGGTGGCAGCACCTTCATCTGATGAACCCAATATGTAAATTTCAACTATGAAGATAAATAATTCCCTACTGGGCTCAAATATAATATAAATTTATTAGGTCGAGCAGCAGCACAGTTGGTAGTAGCTTCACCCTATGAGCCTGAATTATAATGATAAAGAAAAAGCCTCTCCTCTTAGCTTTTACAAATTTACAGTCGCTGGACAGTGCTTCTCGGACATTTCTGCAATAAAAAAACTCTATCTCTTGCCTGCCCTGGTTGTTTTGAAATCTAAGCCTGATTTCTTTGTCCTGTTCCCATCTTCTGTACGTTCCCCTCTTCCTCTCTTGCCTTCCACCTTAGCTCCCCCCCCCCAAATCAATCCCCTCCCACCTTTGCTTCCAAAAGATAAATAATATCCTATAAAACAGTCTTTCTCACGTTAGGCCACTTGGTCTTCATGCAAGGAGACCACAGAGACATGAACAACTTTCAGGAAAAACAAAATACAACTCAGACTATGCACAGATGCCACTACAAACAGGAAATATTTTTTGTTGTCAACCTACTTCATCATAAACAGGCACATACGGAATTCTAATACGAAGAAAATAAAGAATGTAACAGGGATCCTACTCGCAATACATAATTATTCCACCTCCAAACATCCTCCTTGAAATTCACACACCATGAGTATGTTTTCAAGATCATATTTATTTAATGAGTAAAATCTTCTTCCGTCTTCAGCTTTACAACCACATGTGTAAAAAAGCAAAAGTGATGTATTGGGTGCAGGTGCCCTATATCATGTGGTAGATCTTCCTATACATGTTAGATCCAACAACAGCTGACAAGCGTCCCAGTTCGAAATTGAGATTGCTTCTATAGAGACATTTTTCTTCATGAAAATAAATCTAAAGTCAAATTCAGTCATTTTTTAAAAAGGTTTGATGGTTGTTTAAAAAAAATTTCCCTTCCCCTCACCAGCTCTGTCTCCCTGCCTCCCCCTAGATAGCT